GGCGAAACAAGCTACTCCCGCTGCCGCCGCGACGAAAGCTATAGAGTCTCCTGCCGAGGTTGAAGCTTCTGGAGAGGCGAACCATGGCACAGTTCTCTATTCAGACAAGTCCTACGCTGCACAGAAGGCAAAGCGACAAGGTCTCGGTCTGATCAAGTTCATCGGCGAACTGTTCAAAGTGCAGATGTTGACGGAGCGTATCATGCACGAGTGTGTGAAGAAGCTACTTGGCAATGTCGAGAACCCGGAAGAGGAAGAGATCGAGAGCTTGTGCAAGCTCATTTCGACTGTTGGCCTTTTGCTCGATACACCGAAGGCCCGTGCGCACATGGACGTCTACTTCTCTCGCATGGAAGCACTGAGCAAGAGCGACAAAATCAACTCCCGTCTGCAAGTCATATTAAAGGTATGATCCACCGTTTTCTCTTTCTTGTTCTGGTTTAAATGCGTTGTTTGTCAAGGATGTTATCGAGCTTCGGGATCGTAAATGGGTCAGTAGAACAGTGGTTGCTGCTCCTACGACGATCGCGGCCGTACACGAAGCTGTAAGCTGCAGTCATGGATGCGCATCCGACTTCACTGACTCCATTTCTCGTAGGCTGCTAAGGAAAGGGCCGTGCAAGAAAAAGAGTCTTATAAACATCAAATGGGCATGTCGCGAGGAAAATTCCAAGCCGGCCCCAACGGATGGAACGTCGCTAGCGGCAACGCGCCTCGACCTCCCCCGAAGGCCGGAGATCTTTCCAACTTCGGCAAAATCAAAAGCACCAGCAAAGGCCTCCCGACAACGGTCGGACCAAGCAGCGTGTTTTCCGGCAAGAAGGATAACAAGCGGGAGGCTATTTCCCAGACGAGCTCGAGCCAGAACATGTTCTCGATGCTCAGTCATACTCCTGAAGCTCCTGCCAACACTTCTTCCAAAGATAGTAAGTCTCCACCCAGTCCCAAGGCTAGTGTTGAGTTTTCCGCAGTCGCTGCTCCAGAAGTACCTACGCAACGCAGGCGGCTCATCCTCCTACCTCGATCGAAACCGACTACTGAAGAACGGAGTTCAACTACGGCAGAAGCTACCCCAGCAGGCTCTGACAGGAGCTCTGAGAAAGAGGCTACGGCAAAAATGTCCGAGGAAGATACCAACAAGAAGATTGGCGAGAACTAGAGCACGGATGGCGACCAAGTCTTCGGACGTGCTCTCGTAGTATTTCTTTCTATTCCACTAGGTACATATTCCCATCCTGTTGCCATACTACCCGTTTCCTGTATTTCCTTCTGTTATCCCGCTCCGTTCTGTACATGTACATAACTAGCTTGAGCAGAATCCTGGTTTAAGTTGTCTCCGAACAGCACAGCTGTGCCGTCGCCAAGAACTTGCATATGATCGACTTGGATGCCCGATTTTAAGGACAGAAGATGGGCGCCATACACCACGTCCGAGTCTCTATGTCTACTCTCAGTTGTGGTAGCAATGATAGTTTTGAGGGGACATCCCTAACTTGCGTGCTTTCACCATCTACTCTCTCTCTTTCACCGAAGATTGCCAAATTTAGGCACACCTGACGTGCTTTTTGAAACCCAAACTATCGAGTTGGAACTAATTGGGACTGAAATTGAAGCCGATTCAAGCAGTTTCAGCCCAAATATCATTTTAAATTCAGAACAATTTGATTCTGATTCCACACTTGAGGTTTCACAAAGCACCTCAGGTCACTCAATTTGGGAACTTCGGCCGTGTATATTCGAGCTTCCCAAATTAATCACGCCCGAGGTGCTATTCGGAACCCAAAGTATCGGATTGGGATTACAGCTCTTTGCAGAACTTAGGGCGCGGACGATTTTTTTTCTTCTTTTTGGGTACATTTTGATCTTTTGGACCAGGACAGCTGTTCTGGCCTCAAATCTAAGCCGTTGGCCTTGGGAATAGGCTCAATCGATGCGCATTATAAACACGCAGTTAACCATGTCCTCAGATTCTTTATATGACCCCCAGGACCGCTTTCTGAACCTCAGATTTACAACCTGACGTCCAACACGGCTTCCTGGTGGAAGAAATCCCAGAGAGGTCATCACTTTTGATAGCCAGTCAGCAGAACAGCTGCTACTGCCTCAATCCTTGACCATTTTCCATGGGCATATGCTCATTTTACTCGCCTTCCCACTGCGCAGGCAACAGCCGACTCGGAATCTGGAATTACACATTTTATATAATTCCTAGTTTTTCACCTTCTCCCAGTGAAAATACACAGTTTATGTCCTATTGTGTGTATTATCCTAATACAACTACACAGTAAGCTAGGAAATAGATTAAAGTGAAACATTTCAACAAAATCATAGTTTGTGGGCACCCCCAAAGAGCTCACAGCTGTCTTACATGAAAACCTGCTTGCAAATAGACTGCTATACCAGGCAGGCGCTGTGGGAGCCAGTTGAAAAATCGAAAGGTGCCATACACTGCGGATTCACTAGGCGAAGAGATTGTGCCTATACACCAAGTAAATGATTAAGATCTGAGGCCACACCAGCTGTTCTACTGATCGGCAATCAAAAGTGATGACCTCCCAGGAATCTCTTCCACCAGGAAGCCGTATTGGACGTCAGGTTGTAAATCTGAGGTTGCAGTTAACTGTGTATTTGGCCGACGGAGAGATTGAGCATATAACCGAAGAAAACTGCCGAGAATTGAGGACAGAACAGCTGTCCTGCTGAAAAATGATCACAAATGTCCGGATAAAATTCATTTCCATGCTCAGAAAGCGGTCCTGGGGGTCATATAAAAAATCTGAGGACATGGTTAACTGCGCGTTCATAATGCGCATCTATTGAGCCTATTCCCGAGGCTAACGGCCTAGATTTGAGGCCAGAACAGCTGTCCTGGTCCAAACGATCAAAAAGTACCCAAAAAGGAAAGAAAAATTGTCCGCGCCCTAAGTTCTGCAAAGAGCTGTAAAGTGGCCTGAAATTTGGATTGAAACTCCTTGAATCAGTTTGCAAATTTCAGGTCTAATGTGATACTCTAAAGCACATGAGGTGGGCGTACATTTGGGTGTCTCCATTATTATCTCCATTCTTAATCGTCTTTCAATCACCCGCAATTCTCCTCAGCCACGTTATCCTCCATGTCTGCGCGATTGACTGTGGGTGGTGATGGATAGGTACGGATGTTTAAATCTGGCGAGTCTAATGTGGATATGGCTGTGGTACTTGGGGCGAATCTGTCGTATTTGGTACAGTATGTCGGCCATCCTGCTTTAGCCCTCAGTGCATATCATCTGTACACCACATCAAGCTGTACCCTCCCATTGGCCCCTTCAACCTTTTCCTTGGCTCAAATAAATATTCAAGACCGCGTCGAGTTAATATTCTCACCGGAGGAATCAGGCTCAATTCCTTCGTGCGCAACACTTATCTACATTCCCACTCAGCACTTCCATCACCACTGATGTGTGCATTTTTCTTTCCTTTCTGAGGCGAGTGGTCTACCTTTATCATTCCCTTCTACAGTATCTATGAAGGTATGTTTTTAGTATGGAGACTCGGAAGTGGTGCACGGCGCACACCCGCTTGTCTCAAAAAACATATGAGACAATCTGCGAGAAACCTGGGTTCGATTCCCAGCGTCCGAATATGTATGTCTCTTGCGATTGTCTTTTTTTCTCTCTAGGCAGTTCATCTGTGCTCATTATTTTCTCCTACCTAGGGAGGGATGCTTTTAGTATGGAGACTCGGATGTGGTGTATGGTATACACCCGCTGTCCTTACTGTGGTGCACTTGAGCTAGTTCGCGGGAAGCCTGGGTTCAACTCCCAGAATCCGAATCGATAGTGTCGACATCGGTTTTTTGGTCCCTTCTTTACCTTTCCTCCTCAGGCGGTTGAATTTCATCTTGAAACACGTAGTGTTGCCAAAGAGGCGGGTGTGCGTCATACACCACGTCTGAGTCCTGGTAATAAATGTGTACCTCTCTAGGAGGGGGATGCTAATCAGCGTAGATGCACTGCCTAGAGAGTCGGAAGAAAAAGGACTCCAATTAGCGCATTCGGACGCTGGGAGTCGAACCTAGGTTTCCTGTTTGATTTTCCATGATTCGCGCTAAGCAAAGCGGGCATGCACCATGCATCATATCCGAGTGATACTAAGAACGAAACTCCCAGGTAAGAGAGAATAATCAGCCCAGATGCACTTGCAAAGGCAAGAAAAAAGAACAACCAGGGCAATAACATTCGGACGCTGGAAATTGAACCCAGACTTCCTGCTTGATTTCTCATTCGGTGGACGAATATACGAGAAGCGGACGTGCACCATACACCATGCTCACAAGGAGAATGGATAAGAATTAAGCCCACAGCTGCTGTTCTGCCCAAAATAGCTGCAAAAAAAAAAAAACAACTCGTGCCCTAAGTTCTGCAAAGAGCTGTAACAACGCGGACAGCAGCACGACACTTCATTGCGACACGCAGGCATGCTCACTGACCTAGGGAGGTACACTTTTAGTATGGGAATTCGAATGTGGTGCACAGTGCACACCTGCTTTGTTCGATGGTATGCTTTTCTGCTCAAGATGTCCTGGGTTCGACTCCCAACGTTCGAATACGTCTCTTACGACTGTTTTTCTTCTTCTCTAGGCAGTTCATCTGCGCTCATTATTTTCTCCTACCTAGGGAGGGATGCTTTTAGTATGGTTTAGTATGGAGACTCGGACATGGTGTATGGTATACACCTGCTTTCCTTACTGTGGTGCACTTGAACTAGTTTGCGGAAGCCTGGGTTCGACTCCCAGCGTCCGAATACAGGTAACAATTCTTTTTTCCTCTCAGCAGTCCTGTCTGATCTCTTTTGCCTTTCCTCTACACTGCGCAGGCGGTTGAATCAGTATTCAACTTGAAACACATTGTGTTCCAATATTTTTCGTATTAACGACTCAGACAGCGCGACATTTCGTTCCAACGTGCATGCATGATGTTTATTCTGTCTTACTTGGCCAGATGCAGATCATGGGTAGGAACTCGGACGTGGTGCATGGATCACACCCGCTGGCTTTAATTTCATCGTCACCACATCTGCGGGAAGCCTGGGTTCGATTCCCAGCGTCCGAATAGTTGGATTCATCCTTTTTCTTCATTACGCTCACACTGCTGATCATCTCCCACCTAGGGAGGTAAATTTTTAGTACTAGAACTTGGATGTGGTGTATGTATGGTGCACACCTGCTGTCTATGCACGAAGCAGATCGATAAACAGTCTGCGGGAAGCCTGGGTTCGACTCCCGACTTCCGAATAGTTGGTTATGTAATGACGGTTTTTTATCAGTCCTGTCTTTTCACTTTTTTTATCCTTCCTCTCTTCCCACTTCTTGCTTTTGCCCTTCCGGAGGGTGGCAGAATATCAATCTTTTCACTGAAACCGCTTCCTGTTAAAGGTATCAGTATTTCTTATTGCAATACAACACCGGCTGTGCTGCATTGTTCCGTGGCATAGTGATGATTCAGTCTTACTTGGACAGGTGCATATTATGGGTAGGAACTCGGGCGTGGTGCACGGTGCATGCCCGCCTTCCTTGCATTTCTTGGCATGTCATTAACGGGAAACCTGGGTTCGACTCCCGGCGTTTGAATTCATTGTTGTTCACCATTTTTTTTTGTCTCCGGTAGGATCTGCCCGGGCCTGGGTCTTCTAACGTTTTGTAAAGCTTACACAATGTTGGACGCGATGACGAGCATTGACGACCCTGAGGCACTCCACATACCCGGTCAAAGTCTTGGCAATATTAATGATCGCCTCCATCATTTCGGCATTGCGATCAAATATCGATGAACGTTCCAGGTCTAAAATAACCTCTGCGCAGACAGGCACAACCGTGAACGAGGTGAAGGTCTTTCTTCATTCTCGTTGTCTGAACTCAATCCAAAATCCTAGATGCAACACGAAAACAAGAACTGCCCCCTAGCCGTGCCCAGCGAACTTGGCGGGCTCAGTGGTACCGCGTGGCGTTAATGGGCCACACTCCTCTTCCTCTTCATTCCCTTTCCACCACCCGCCCACGAGGCAAACCACCAGTGACCACGGGGCGCTCACCACCATGCCAGGAGCAGCCTACACGGGCATCGCGCCATACAACACCAGCACGCTTGTCCCGCCGCCCGTGCCCACGTGCGCCATTATGAATGCCATCCTGTCAACTCCCAGCGTCTGAATGGTTCTTTTTGTTATCAGTCCTCTCTTGCCACTTCTTGAATTTCCCCTCCGACGATTGAATAGTAAATACCACTACTCTCATTGAGGGTTCTTATTCAACTCACTATTATCTATTGTTGCAACACAAGACCCATTCTTGCATTATTATACATTCTGCTGACATAATGATGATTCAGTCTTATGTAGCCAGGTGCAGATTGAGGGTAGCAAGTTGGACGTGGTGTGCGGCGCACACCTGCTCCTCATGGACAAATACAACAAATCTGCGGGAAACGTGGGTTCGACTCCCAGCATCCGAATGATAGGGCTTTCCAACACTTGTTTTACCACTGCATTTTTCAGTTCATCGTTATTCTCTCCTAAGTAGAGAGGTACGCTTTCAGTACCAGGACTCGGACGTGGTGTATGGTACACACCTGCTCGCCTTGATAAAAGCCTGGGTTCGACTCCCAGTGTCCGAATTGCAGCTTGCTGTGGCTTCTTTTTATTCCTTAAGCAGTTCATCACACTGATAGTGGTGTATGGCGCACACTCACTCGTATTATGAAAAGAATGCAAGAACGTCTGCGAGAAGTCTGGGTTCGATTCCCAGGGTCTGAATTGATGACCGATCTATCTTTGTTTTTCAACCAGTGGTCCGCGCTTTACCCTGTCTCCTCCGACGGTTGAATTTCATCTTGAAACACGGTGTGTTACCTTATTTTCTTCGTAACAACTCGGACAGTAAGACATTGCAGTCCAATAGACATACGATGATGTTTCCCTCGCATTTAGCCAAGTGCGCATTATGGGTATGAACTCGGACGTAGTTTATAATGCACACCCGCTTAGCTTGCTGTTGCAAACATTGCTTGAAGAGGGAAGGCCGGGTTCGATTCCCAGCGTCTGAATGGACCCTTTGCTTCTTTTTTCCTTCCTTAGGCAGTTGAACTACGCCAATCATTTTCCTACCTCGAGCAGTACGCATGTAGTACCAGGAGTCGGGTGCACCTGCTTTGCTTGCTGCTGTAAACCACTGCTTCATCTTCACTGATTATTCCATCCTAGCTAGAGAGGTACATCTTTAGTACCAGGACTCGGACGTGGTGTATGGTGCTCGCCCGTTCGTCCTGCAGAGGGAAGAAGATAACTCTGTGAGAAGCCTGGGTTCGACTCCCGGCGTCCGAATATTTAGGTCCTATCTGCCCACTTTTTTATCTGTCCTCTCGTCCCACTTCTTGCTTTTGCCCTTCCGGAGGGTGGCTGAATATCAATCCTCCCACTGCAACCGCTTCCTGTTAAAGGCATTAGTATTTATTATTGCACCACAACACCGGAATAATCCTCTGGCATAGTGATCATCCAGTTTTACTTGGCCGGGTGCAGATTATGGGTAGGAACTCGGATGTGGTGTATGGTGCACGCCCACTTGTGTTGCTAAGTCGTTATTGCATCTGTGGGAAGCCTGGGTTCAACTCCCAGCGTTCGAATTCAATATCTCTTCCGGTTTTTTTCTCCGGTATGATCTACCCGTGTCTGGGTCTCTAACATTTCTAGCTTGCACGTCGTTTGGACAAGCAGTGAAGAGCCTGAATAGATACTGTTCGTCGCTTATTTTTCTTCTACCTAGGAAGGTACGCGTTTAGTACCGGGACTCGGACGTGGTGTATGGTGCCCACCTGCCGTCTATTCATGTAGAAGTGTGATAACAGTCTGCGGGAAGCCTGGGTTCGACTCCCAGCGTCCGAATGTCTCTTGCCACTGTTTTTTCCTTCTCTAGGCAGTCCATCTCTGCTAATTATTCTTTGTCACATAGGGCGGTCCGCGGTTAGTATAGGGACTTGGACATGGTGTGTGGTGCACACCTGTTCTCTATTCATGTAAAAGTGTGACAACAGTCCTCAGGAAGTCTGGGTTCGACTCCTAGCGTCCGAATAGATGGCGGAGACCGTGCTTTTTTGTTTTTCAGCCAGAGCCGTGTTTTACCTTGTCTCCTCCGGCGGTTGAATCACACTATTCAACTTGAAATATGTTGTGTTGCAATAGTCTTCGTATTACAGCTATTTCCGAAAACCTTGAGACAACTTTTTTTTTTTGGCTCGCACAGATTTTTGATGGAGTGCTAAGGATTGCCGGATTTGGTGTTGCCAAGCCCAGGCCGCCGCCTTGCCGCCGCCAACATATTTTTTTCTGTGATTCGAGCAAACACTATAGGAGGATTTTGGGCTCAGAACGCCCGAGTGCTGTTTTCCGTACCTTTGCAGCACTCTATCCTGTAAATAAAATACTATGAAGAGGAAGGCCTAGGTTAGGCCCATCCTAAAATGGAGCTGATCCGGGCCCAAACTGGTAATCCTAAAACGGCAATCTTCCTGCCTTGTTAAGTGTGGGGTTTAATGTTGAGTATTCAACTCACTTTCAGATCATCGGAAAGTCCCTCTTTCAGTTTGACAATTAGTGTGGCAGAATGTGGTAATTTAATCACCCCTTTCTGATCAACTGGAAACAAAGAAATTCCGTCGAAAGAGAAAAGCTGGAGGAATGTTAGCCTTCCAACTGAGATGATACGACGATGAAAGGAGTATTTTTAGCACTCCTTTCAGTTTTGCCGGAATCAAAGCTCTTTGCAGAACTTAGGGCGCGACTCAATTTTTCCCCCTTTTTTGGCACTTTTTTGATGGTTTGGACCAGGACAGCTGCCCTGTCCTCAAGTCTGGGCCGTTCGCCTCGGGAATATACTCAATCGATTCGTATCGCGAATACGCAGTTAACCGCATCCTCAGAATTTTTATATGACACCGAGAACGGCTTTGTGAGTGGCGAAAGCAATTACTTTTGATCATTTTTGATCATCTTTCAGCAGGACAGCTGTTCTACCCTCATTTCTCAGTCTTTTTCTTTGGGAATAGGCTCAATTGATTCGTATTTCAGGTGTGCAGTTAACTGCGTCCTCAGATTTACGGCCCCACCTCCAATACGGCTTCCTGATAGACGAAATCCCCAGTAATTCATCGCTTTTGATCACCAGTCAGCAGAACAGCTGCTGTGGCCTCAGATCTTAATTATTTGTTTGGCCTATAGGCTCAATCTCTTCGCCTATTGAATCTGCAGGGCACACCACCCTTAGATTTCACAACTGGCTCCCACGGCGTTTTTCTGGTACAGGAGTTTGTTTTTAAGCAGGTTTTCATGTAGGACAGTTGTGAGCTGCTTTCGAGGCACCCACAAACTATTATTTTGTTGGAATGTCGCACTTTACTCTATTAACCAGCCTACTGTGCAGTCTTATTAGAATAATACACACTATAGGACGTTCACTGTATGTTTTCACTGGGAGAAGGTGAAAAACTAGAAATTACATTAAATCTGTAATTCTGGATTCTGAGTCGGCAGTTGCCTGCGCAGGGGAAAGACGAGTAGAATGAGCCTATGGACACGGAAAACGGTCAGGGACTGAGGCCGCAGTAGCTGTTCTGCTGACTGGTGATCAAAAGTGATGACCTACTGGGGATTCTGTCTACCAGGAAGCCGTATTGGATGTGGGGCCGTAAATCTGAGGACGCAGTTAACTGCGCACTTGAAATAATAATCGATTGAGCCTATTCCCAAAGAAAAAGACCAAGAAATGAGGGTAGAACAGCTGTCCTGCTGAAAAATGATCAAAAATGATCAAAAGTAATTGCTTTCGCCGCTCACAAAGCAGTTCTCAGTGTCATATAAAAATTCTGAGGAGGCGGTTAACTGCGTATTCGCGATACGAATCGATTGAGCATACTCCCGAGGCGAACGGCCCAGATTTGAGGCCAGGGCAGCTGTCCTGGTCTAAACCATCAAAAAAGTGCCAAAAAAGGAAAAAATCGAGCCGTGCCCTAAGTTCTGCAAAGAGCTGTAAACCCCACACTTAACAAGGCGGGAAGATTGATTTTTTAGGTGTGTAGCACTCTATCAAAACTCGGCATGTGCAAAAAAAAAGTTGCCGTCTCAAGGTTTTCGGAAACAGCTGTAATGACTCGGACAGCGCGACATTTCGTTCCAACGTGCATGCATGATGCTTATTCTGTCTTACTTGGCCAGGTGCAGATAATGGGTAGGAACTCGGACGTGGTGCATGGCGCACGCCCGTTGGCTTTAATTTCGTCGTCACCGCATCTGCGGGAAGCCTGGGTTCGATTCCCAGCGTCCGAATAGTTGGATTTATCCTTTTTCTTCATTACGCTCACACTGCTGATCATCTCCCACCTAGGGAGGTAAATTTTAGTACTAGAACTCGGATGTGGTGTATGTATGGTGCACACCTGCTGTCTATGCACGAAGCAGATCGATAAACAGTCTGCGGGAAGCCTGGGTTCGACTCCCGGCGTCCGAATAGTGGGTTAATAAGGGTTTTTTATCAGTCCTGTCTTTTCACTTTTTTTATCCGTCCTCTCTTCCCACTTCTTGCTTTTACCCTTCCGGAGGGTGGCAGAATATCAATCCTCTCACTGCAACCGCTTCCTGTTAAAGGCATTAGTATTTCTTATTGCAACACAACACCGGCTGTGCTGCATTGCTCCGTGGCATAGTGATGATTCAGTCTTACTTGGACAGGTGCAGATTATGGTTAGGAACTCGGACGTGGTGTATGGTGCACGCCCGCCTTCCTTGGGGACTTTCTGACTTGTAGTTAACGGGAAACCTGGGTTCGACTCCCAGCGTTCGAATGACATGTCGAGTGTACTTTTTTTCTGCTTGGCCTTCATGGTCCGGTCCTCCCTGTTGGGTTTTGCAAACGTTTGGACGCGATGACGAGCAGTGACGACCCTGAGGCACTCCACATACCCGGTCAAAGTCTTGGCAATATTAATGATCGCTTCCATCATTTCGGCATTGCGATCAAATATCGATGAACTTTCCAGGTCTAAAATAACCTCTGCGCAGACGGGCACAACCGTGAACGAAGTGAAGGTCTTTCTTCATTGTCGTTGTCTGGACTCAATCCAAAATCCTGGGTGACACGAAAACAAGAACTGTCCCCTAGCCGTGCCCAGCGGACTTGGCGGGCGCAGCCCTGGCTCAGCACCCGCGTGGCGTTCCACACCCAAGGTAAAACACTCCTTTGCCTCTTCCCTTCCCTTAACCCGCCCACAATGGGCCCCTTCCTCCTACGCTCTTTCGGCTTATGCCTCCTCCCAATCCTCCTCGCCCACGCAGAGATCACCGTCTACCATGTGAACAACCAGGCCGCGTTCGCCACCGCCACCTCGGTGGGGGGCACCTACACCGGCGTCGCGGCGTACAACCCCAGCACGCTCGTCGCGCCCGCCGCGCCCACCGGCGTCATGACCACCATCCCGGTCGCGCTGCAGAACAGCGGCACCGTGGGCCTGGGCATCAAGCAGAAGGGCTCGTTCCTCGGCTTTTCGATTGAGATGTCCGTGACGAACCAAGTTTGTGCGTCCTTTCCTTGTTCTTCACCTCACTTCAGAGACGACGATGCTAACGACGGATTGTGCGATAACAGTGGGCAAGAACTCCTCCCTCATCCAAGTCCCCTTCCTCAACCTCATGGCCAACATCGCCCAGCGCGCGGGCTCCGTCATGATCCGCGTCGGCGGCAACACCCAAGAGTCCGCCACCCTCGTCCCCGTGCTCGACAACGGCCGCGTCCTCGAGAAGAACCTCACCGGCGTCACCGGCACCACGCAGACGCCGCCCCTCGACTACACCACGGACCTCCTCTACATGATGCGCAACGTCTCCTCCATGGTCAACGTGCACTGGTTCCTCGGCGTGCCCTGGTTCGTCACGCAGCCGTTCGACACGGCGATCGTGAGCGCGTCGCAGGCGATCCTCGGCGATTATCTGCTGGGCCTGCAGGCGGGGAACGAGCCCGATATGTATGCGCTGCATCAGCACCGGAACGATACGTATAGTCCGTTCGATTATGGCGGGGAGGTGAGCCTTCCTCTCCTCCTCCTCTCCTTGCGCTCTTTATTTTTCTACTGTGCTCATCACGGCGTAGGTCTCCGACTTCCTCGCCCAAATCGCCTCCGACGGCGCAGACCCAGAAGGCCGCGCCAAGAACCTCCTCGTCGCGCCCAACATCGCGAACTTCAACTGGAAGAACGAGCAGGTCTGGGACACCGGCTTTGTCGATACGTACCACGATAACCTCGCGTATCTCGCCGTCGAGAAGTGCGTTCTCTTCTCCCTTTCATCCCTTCCCCTCCCCTTGCCTCCTCCTTGCTTCCCATCTCCTCTCTTCCCCCCTTCCTTATTTCCCCTCGCCCCCTGCTTCCCCTCTTATTTTTTAAGACCGCGACTGACGACGCCCAGATACCCCGCCGACAACTGCGGCGCCATGTTCAACAACGGCGAGCCCATCGTCGACCCCCAAACCGTCCTCACGGACTACCTCACGCACGACGCGCACGTCACGCTGCTCGCGCCGTACCTCAACAGCACGGCGTACGCGCAGAGCAAGGGGAAGCCGTTTTTGATGTTCGAGACTAATACCGTGGGTGCCTCTTCTCCTCGCTTAAATTCGCGCGCTTCGAGCTACACCCGTATGGGCCTCACGTTACTCGTATGGCCGGGCGTGGCCGGGCTCCCGCGTATTTATGCAGATCACTGATGAGGACCGCGACAGGCCTCCTGCGGCGGCTTCCTCGGCATCTCCGACTCGTTCACCGCGGCCCTGTGGGGGCTCGACTACGCGCTGCAGATGGCGCACTCGAATTTCTCGGGCGCGATGTATCATCTTGGGGGGCAGAATGTTTTTTATAACGCGAGTCCTTCCTCTTAACTTACATCTCTTCTTTCAACTTCTTATTTTTTATCCACAGCCGTTTACGTGTGCGTTTTCTTCTTCGATAATATCAGGGAGAAGTGTGTTGATGAGATATAGCCCCGCCGACGAACGAGTCGACGTTCCACCAGTGGACGGTGGGCCCGCTGTACTACTCTGCGCTGGTGATGGCGGAGGCGTTGGGGCCGTCGAATAATTCGCAGGTGGGTCATGTCTTCTTTCTTCTTTTTTTTTCACTCCGGTTATACCGCCGTCTACTTGCCCTACTCCTACTTCTACTTGCACTCCCCATCGCTACCCACTCGCCCCTATCCCGACACACCACTCCCAAAAATAACACCCCCAAAATGACGCTACCTCCCCAAAAAATAATCACACTAGCTAACTCCCCTCAAAAATACGAACTGACAACACTACCCCTCCCCAGGTCTACAACCTCCCCATCGCGAACCTCTCCCCGCAGACGCCGGTGTACGGTATCTACGAGGACGGCGTGCCGAAGCGCGTCGCGGTCGTCAATTATATCGACGATGCGAGTGGGGCGAATGATGTTAAGGTGCGTTTCCGTTTTATGTTAAGCGGGTCTTCCTGCAAGGCGTGCGGGAGTGCGGTGGTCTAAGAGTCGAAGGGGGGGGAGGAGTTGAAGTGAAATTGTGCTAATGATCCTTTGCAGGTCGTTATATCGATAGCGGGCGGCACGCTGCCGGCGAGTGTGAAGGTGAAGTATCTGGCGGCGGAGACGGTGGTGCAGAAGGGGAATTTCACGTGGGCTGGGCAGGTGCGTTCTTCCTTCCTCCCTCTTCCATCTCTTCCTCCTCCTCCTCCTCGTGTACTCACATGTTTTCTCCATCTTTTTTTTTTCGCACACTCAACAGACATTCGGCACCAACTTCGCATCCGACGGGCGGCCGATGGGTGAGGAGGACATCCAGGACGTGGCGTGCGACACAACGGCGCAGACGTGCACGGTGACGGTCCCCGCGCCGGGCTTTGCACTCGTCTTTCTGTCGGACGACGCGCAGACGGAGGGGGCCGCAGGCGGGCAGGCGAGCGTGACGTTTGCGACAACGGCGAGGACGCAGACGCGTAATACTGGTGCGTCTCTTCTCTTCTCTCTTGCTCCTTCGAGCTTTCCCTTTCCCTTCCTTTTTTGGGGATCCCCCGTTGTTGCGTTCTTGCTTTTCTTTTTTTTTTTTGGGCTTTGTCGAATGGTTAACTAACGAATAAAAACAAATAGCGACGGTTGAGCCCTCCGTGCTCGCGACGTCGAACGGGAACAGGATGTCTATGCACGAGCTGGCCGGGACGAGTAAGCCGCCCCGCAGCGGGGCGTTGCGGGGGATACAGATCTCGCTCATCTTGGGGACAGTGTTGGTGGGAGTTGTGGCGGGGTTGGCGGTGGTGTTGTAGGTGTGGGGAGGTGAATGGACGTGAATATGAAGGGGGATATTGGAGGGGTGTTTGGAAGGATGCAATGGATGGAGGTGATTTTTGTGACTCGGACATACACGTAGTTTAGCGCCGCATATTCCGCCGGTTCGGACGGAGGAAAGTGGCAGACAGTCAGCCAGCCATATACAGTAGTTTCTTGCTGCTTGGCTAGTTAATTGGATGTGGATATGCGTGTGAGGATTCATGGCTCTGCGATTGTGTCGTCTGATTCAAACGAGTCATCCGGAATTCGACGCAATAAGGTGCCCGCCATCCACCCTCGACAAACGTCACGTGGTGTTACGGTCACACTTCCAATTTGGGCGCCGACGACGAAAAAGATTAGTTTTGAAGCAATAAGGAAGGCAGGGTCAAATCCCCCCGACCATATTATGTATATGAATACAAATTAATCATATAAAAAAAACTAGAGCTCTGCAGCTTGTGTAGATTAAGGAATAAGGCAATTTATACAAACTTGACCATTAAACAATGCCCGTGTGGTCGAGTTCCAAAATTGAAGCGGGGTAGGTTCGGTGGCCAGGGAATTTCTTAGTAATTCATACTGCCTGTAACCTGTGAGCTTGTGGTTGAAGTACGCATCACCAAACCGATAACAACGGTTGGCATATCTGCCAGCAGAGGTCAGCAGAGTTAGAACGAAGTCTACGCAGATCAGCATATTTGGTCATCCCACGTTCTGTCAAGATCTGCTTCATCCCCTTGAATTTGCCGGGATGCCGCGAGTGGTTGTCGGGGAAATAAAGGTCTTGTACTTTTCCGTCAAAATGTGCACCTGTCATTTTAATTTTCTCCTTGGCCAGATTACCCTTGGAGTCATAAACCAACTTCCCATTCTCATCCCACCTGTTGACCTCAACAAGGAAATTAGCCGACTCGCTACCCCTTTGGGTTCCAGACGGGGCTTTTGGCATGCTGCGAGCAGAGAGAGCACCCTCGGTGCGCTTCTTGTGAGTAGTAACGTTGTTGTAGACAAAGACATGGTCAAACTCTGGCCAGAGCTCCTTGACAAGTGTGCAAGCCGCCGATGCCTGCTCAAGAACTTCAACGGAGGTAAAATATCCATCACGGGCTTTTCCTGGTCACATGCATCAGCGCGCGTTTCGTTTGGGGTTATTGGGATCGCGTAACCAGCCAAAATCGGCAGAGAAGTAGTTGGCAACCATGAACAAATGCCCCTCTCCCTTCCGATAGGGTTTTGCAGGTGAATCTTTGTGGTACCAGCTGGTATGCCGCTGGTCGTGTGCATAAAAAATACTTTCGTCGTGATACCAGACGATCACACGACGTCCGGTCGCAGTGAAATCCTTATTGATGATGGGATTGCCGTCGTTGTCAAAGATCACAACTCGCTTGTTCAGTTCAAAGAGCCATGGCAGATAGATATTGTCTCGATAATAGAAAACATCCGGGTGGTCGTGGCCATTGACATACTGGCCTTTCTTTGGAGAAGTAAACCTATTGAATGCGAGCAAGACCTACGATGATATACAAGAAACGGACCTGTATCCCAGTTCGTCGAGATATCGGCGTGCTGTAGTTATCGATACCGGTTTGTCGATGCCGTGTTCCACACAGACTGCAGGGTCATTCAGGTATTTTACAAGTTTTTCCGCCGTAATCTCCTTGCCCAGAGACTGGAGATGAAGCCGTATATCATTCGCAAGATCTTCGTCAGCCAACATGCTCTCGTTCCAATCTCCATACAGATTCACATCGAGAACTTCACAAGTGAGAATAAATTGACGGGCCAGAGCAGCCAGTACCCGTGCACAATGTTTCCCTCGTCCAAGGCCGAGAGCAGCCATCTGAGCAGAAGCGCCCTAGTGACCGTAAGTACCGCTCTGGGTTCCCGGAGTAACATAAAAATTCAGCATGGTCTGGATGCCGGTTAACCGATTGCGTGTGAAAGCACTGATGTTGGGATCTTTATAGCCAACACCGCGGCGCCCCCAGAGATCAGTACCACACAATTCTCCACACAGAAAGCGCTGCACATAATCCAGAGCATCCTTAGCCTCCCCAATATTAGGTGCTTGGCGCAGCGACCCTGGGCACATAGCCTGTTCATGTATCTTATCAAGAAAAGCGCGAGGTGCGCACGGTCTCAGGTAATCATCATCGTGGGAAGGTGATGTCGCCAACAGCTCATCGTTGGCCGCCAGAATTTCATTGAAGTCACGGGGGTCATCCTCTGAGTTGCAGGGAGGGGGAGAAGAAGATGGAGGAGGACGAGAAGAGGAAGGGAACAGAGGGCGCAGCTCAGCAGGTGGAGGGAATGTATAGGTGGACATGCAGTCATCTTCATCAGCCACTTCCTCTACAGTTAGTTTCCATGTGAATTGACAGGCAGTCGGTGCGGCGGATGCGGACTCCGATGTGAAGCTGGGGATATTGAATGATTGTATCGACACGAGAAATGGATCATCAGACGCGTCTGTAATTAGACACATCTCCTATCTCTGAGTTGTCCGGGTAGAGAGTTCCGTGGGGGTCAATAAAAGTACAGTTGCTTGTACTTACGGCTGTATTCTCTTTCTGTTTTTTTGTGCGGGGATAGCCAATTCCACAGCTTCCAGGGACTAAGCTCGTCGAAAGCCTGTTTAGTCGTTGACCCGATATTAGCCAGATTCGTAAGAAGGTTCGCTGCCCTAGTATTGTGCGTCTTCGAGTGTGGTGCCACGGAACACGTACACAATGTGCCAGCGTGGCAAGCGATTTGAGCCAAAATCTGGATAAATTGGCTTATTCTGAGTCCAGATCACACTTTTGGGCGGTTTTTTTTTTGATCTGGGGCCAATGGTGAGTGCATATACGAAATTTGGTCGAGGGATTTGGCCGATTATGGACTACTAATTATTTTATGGATTTATCTACCTACAAAGTCCGAAAGCAGAAGTTGTCACACCGGACCACGTGACATTTGTCGAGGGTGGATGGCGGGCACCTTACAAAGCGAGCTTGTCCGTACAGCAATTAAAGCTGTTGCGTTCCAAAAGCTGGTTTTCAGTTGGAGATGGTGGCCCGGGATGCTGATACTGGTACTATTTAATGCCAAATTAACAGCAACCAGAAGCCGGTCTTCACCACTGAGTTTCATGGTTTCACGAATTACCACGTCCAGACGACGACAGGGACGACTAACTACGAGGTTATAACTAAGCTCCATTTAAAAAACGGTGTCTGCACTATATATGTACATTCTCCTTTCTTTATAGTTCGATGAAACAATATCTAGTTTCCAGCTTGCACGGTTGCGTACGTTCACTTTCCTGCGGTAAGATTTATTTAACGGCCGTCTAGCTCAGTTGGTTAGAGCGTCGTGCTAATATTCGTAACATCGAATCCATATTACGCGAAGGTCTTGGGTTCGACCCCCACGATGGCCATTTCCAGTGATTGGTTGATTCACTTCTTTTTTGCTTATTCAAAGTAGGTAGCATTACACGGCACGGCCCGAATAACGAACGTCGGTTCCCAGGGATTATCCCGGTGTACAAAGCAAGTCCAATACACCATCGCCTTTGGAACCATCCTCCCGTTTTACTTTTGTTCCGCGAAGCCCATACCCATAACAAAATGAATGGAGCGCTATAATTTCGCGCAACACGAAAAACTCACACCACATCCCACGCCAAGGAGAAAGGTCTTGCTGATGTCGTTCGATTTCTCTAGCTATTGGCATGAGGGAACAAAAGTGTACTGGTGCTTTTTGCGCTGAGTCGAACCATATACCACACCTTTGGGGAGGAAGGTTACCGCGAACAGATATGATCAATCGCGAACTTTGGAATCGAGCTGGTTCTAGCCTGTTGTAGACAATTGATTCTTTCGATCATTGACCAAACTGGTCGTAGCTAATCAGACAGAACTTGGGGACGTCTTCCGGCGAAGCGATGTTGTACGGATTCAACAACACAACGTAATTTCGTCGGTTCGGAATTCGCAAAGCATAAGCGACTTTGTCCATGTCAACAGTCGGGGCAACAGACAGAACGCGGCCCCGTAGTGAAGTGGCACCGGGTATCCGGTGCGCTACTCTTCCAAGTTAGAATGCACCGAGTCTGTTGGAGTCTGAGTTAAGTTATACACCAGACCTCTTTAGCTGTGCTACGACCTCGCCTCTATAATAAAAAGCGCTCGGTTTTGTTTTCTCGACGAAAGACTTGAAATTAGATAGGTGCTTTTGAACCATATTGAAGTTGTGGGTTCAACTCCATTGTTACATTCTGGTCACTAGCGTGCAGGCGATTCTAGCTTAAATATGTAGTGTCGCATGTAGCAGCGTGAAGAGTCGGTGGGGAGTTTGAGCCCTGCATTTAGTTCCCAGCAGCGTTGTCCTAAGTTGGCACCCAAAGCATTGTATTGATCCCAGAAACCGGAACTGGTGTACTACGCATCCCTGCTGTCCTGCAGTCTCACGACGGCGCGTTCCCGAAAGCAACTCCACCCTCAAATCCCCGTTCCCTGAATGTGAATTCAACACGTAACAAGATTTCAAATAATTTACAACGTACGGTGATTACTGAGGGGTAGACGGCTCAACATCAGGATCGAGCCCAATTGTGAGCAGCAGATCCCCTCGTTCTTCCATCTCCTTCAATCGTGCAATAAACTCCGGAGAGCATTCTCGCTCGCGGTGAGGGACCCAAAATAGATTTGTCGCGAACGGTCGGTGCTCCTGGCGGCCAGAAACAATGCGTGAGGCGACGAAGTCCACGAAACAGTCGTCGCCGAATCAGAAGATCGAGCTAAACCATAACCAATTAAGGCTGGGAACAATACATGCATAATCAGGCCGCCAGACGAGTCCACGCAGGAGGTTGTCGGTGATGACCGAATGCGACGGATCCTCACAATCCCATACGACCAACTGCTCTAGCACGGGCAAAACCGAGAGGCACTGCAGGAGTTCCTCATCCTGGATTATCGCTTGGATTTCAAATACTGTGAGGTTGGCATGTAATGCCGAGCGCGAAGCGAAGGTCAGGAAGTGATGCTGGTGCCAAAATAAAGGTGGCGCGTTCGGCTGCCTACACAAACCCAATTCCTGCAAACAAGGCAAGGTAAGGGATGCGAGAACCGCTCCGAGGATCTCCGTTGTCTGCTCTTGGTTCGGGTCGGCAGTGAAGAACATGAATAACCTAGACACATTGGAGACGATAGGCGGGAAATGGATGGGAATGCTGATGTCGGAAATATCAAGAGAAAGATCACAGCGAGAGTTGGTCGAGAGTCGGTGGATAAGGTTCAATGCATCAACGAGATCGTTCCACCCAGAGTTGTAGTATATAAAGTCTAGGATCTGGCCCCACGGCAAGGTCGGGATTTGGGCGGCATTACCGGTGAAGGTAACTTTGTTTAATCGCGGAGCGACTGCAAAACTACCGGTGTCAGTCCAGTGCGAATTATTCTGATTGCTGATGTCAAGGCCCTCCAGCAACGGCAGATTTCCCTTTACGGCAGCAATGATTTGGAAAGACGGCAGGTCATTCCAGAAGTATAGCTGCCGCCACCGCCCAGAATGCTGGGCCAGTAGTTCCAGCACAAGCTCGTGGTTTGAGTCCGCAATTGAAACGGCACATTGAAGCGAGAGTGGATGACTGCCGCTGTGCTCGAGGGAACGCACAACGAGATCGATCAGTGTCGGCGGGGACGCGGGAATCTCGCTCCAGAGGGTTGTGTCGACGACGATGGTGGACCAGAGTCTCGCAGTTCCCATGACTAGGCCATACCAGTGCGAACACACCTTAAATGAGACCGAATGCTTCATAAATAGCTATGCAGGTAGTGCCACTGACGCACCTGTGATAGCTGAAGAAGATACTTCTTGGCGAGGCGCTCGAGCTCTTCTATAGGAGTAGTTGTCTCTGATATGTAATGTACGCCAGGCGGTGCACACATTTCGAAAATTTCGATCAACAATTCTGGGGGGAGTCGTCGGACGGGCGAAAACACGCTCCTGCATCCATGCGCATACGACTGCAGCTTCTCTCGATCCGACTTCAATTCGTCTAATCTTTCCTGGAGCCGCTTTATTTCGCTGTCGTACCGCGCAATTTCAAGGGGCATCTCGGCCATGACGTGCTGGAAAGTTCTGGATGTCTCGGCGGGTGGCAAGGCGTTGGAGCGTAAAATGCCGCGGAGGTGACTGAATTGTGTGGGGTTGGAAAGGAGATGTGATTTCTGAAAGGGGATTTGGGTGCAATCGTCGCACAGAACCCGGCCGACGTTGGAGGGGAGTACCATGGTCGATGTGGCACGACAAAGAGTGTGGTGACTAAGCAACTCGGAGCTGATCTCCGAACAATCGGGCTGATCGGCACTTCCGACTTCTCAGTACTTAGGACCTTCTATTAAGACCGGTTTTCGATTCCCCCTTTCGGTGTTCTCCCATCGCTCCCTCAAATGGCTGCTGAATTTTGGCACCTGTCATGGGCACCTCTGAGGCAGTGGGTTGATTCAATTTCTCGAATTGGTTCAAGAAGTGTCGAATTGAACGGAAAGATAGTATTTACATTTCTAAACATGTGCTTGGGAATCCTCGTTTTGGTCACAGGTTTTTCTGCCCGCACTCTTCTCCCATACTCGAAACTGAACTATTTTGGGACGAATTGGCACCAGTCCACCTGACCTTTAGTAAGCGCCCTCGTCCTCGAGGCCTCACTAACCCTCGCTCACCCTCCCTCTGCTCATGGCATCCTCTGAGATATCGGAACGATGTAGGACATCTTCCACAGTTCTATGATCCCGCTGACGATCTTCGCAGTCTGTGCCCCCGATGCGGATATCACGATCTCGTCGTCCGACGGTGTGCTGTTCAAAGTCCATCGCAAGAATCTGGAACTCCATTGCGACATTTTTGCCAATGCGGCGGACACGACCAGACCAGAGACTGGCGAAGACATCGTGCACCTTTCAGAGCGCGCCGAGGTGCTAGATCTCTTGTTCCAGTACATGTACCGCCAACCACAGCCGGATCTCCAAGTCGTGGAATTTTCGGTGTTCGCTGGCCTAGCTGAAGCAGCGGAGAAGTACGTGGTTTATTCCGCGTTGACACTTTGCAAGATGATAATGAGGTGCGCAACGATGATCTTCAGGAAGCCTTGCCGTTCACACGACTGTACTCAGAAATTCGATTCCTCAGCATCCGTTGGAGGTCCTGGATTACGCCGTCAAGCATGGCCATGTTGAAATGGCTGATGAATCGGCGCGGCAGAGCATGGGCCATGGGGTGGCCGATGCCATGCAGGTTCTCGCGCCTGATACCTTCAAAACATGGGTGAGACTTCGTATATCTATTCGGATTTGGCGATGTAGTCTTATGCAGGTTTCAGACATTGGTCCACGAGCGATGGCAGAAGAAGACAGCTCTCTGTCTCGCCGAATTGCTTGGCAGGCGGGAACATTACAAGGATATTGTACGCGAGAGTCTTCAGAACCCCAATGGCTGCTACGCCGTTCGCGAAGAACTGTTCCAGGCGAGCTCCTCATACAAAAACAGCGTAGCTGATATGAAGTTCTCGATCAGCGACTCGGAGAAATGTGCAGAGAAGTTCCGGAAGATCTGGGATTAGCTCTCATACAGTATGTCCTTAGTACACCTTCATACAGTAAGGATGCTGGATGTATTTCTTGAAAACGACATGCCGATCAATTGATTCACTTCACTTGCATGCTGGATTGAACTGTTGTCAAATTCCCCGCTTTTGTACGCGGTCCTGTCTATGTAGCTGGTGTGGAGAGAAGAGGTAAATGGGGCGCGGGCACATTTACTTAGAAATAATTCGGACATGCGTAACTGGCAGCAGGCGTAGACTCAACCGTACCCACCTGGTGTATAAAGTCAACAGCTACAGCTAAGGCTCGCCAATTTCTTACTTATTTGACAAGTTGATTGGATCTGGAAATTTCAGGACCGAGTGCGGTCAGTTGGACAAAGTCGATAGGGGCAGGAGCATTATCCACCATACCGTAGCGACCGACTGAAAATTTAAAGCGGCCCACAACCGCTATGAATCATAAAAACTTCAATTTTGGTTGTCGTATCCTTGCTGCCACCAGAAAAACCAATATTCTACAGGCAGCTCATCAAAAAAGTCCTCGCCTCAGTCCTCAAGCGAATATTCAGCGAGACGTCCATCCTCTCGCGCAGTAGATCGTCATACTCACGCGAACGCGATCGTCAGCGAGGCGTCAAAGTCCGCAATGATGTCCGATACGTCTTCGATTCCGACGGAGACCTGCATTCAGCGCGGATGAGCACATACGGACACGAAGAAAATATAAGGAAGATGGTACTGACGCGAATCATGTCGGGCGTGACGCCCGATGAAAGCTGCTCCTCCGCAGTGAGCTGGGAGTGCGTCGTCGAAGCGGGGTGGATGAC